AATAACTTGTCTTTTAACAACTTTCTTTTCTGATTGATGCAGCTATTTATCACGAGTCCAAAAATCCAATTGCATGTGGGTCTAAGAGAATAATGAAATCTTTCGACAAGAAATTAGGTTACAAGTCTATCAATGATAAACCTTCAAAAGAAAGTCTATCAATGATAGATTGCTTTGAGCAAAGATAAGATCACAGGCATGCCACTTAATTTTAGTAACACACAGTCAAACATAGGCACGTTGAAATCATAATTTAATAAGCTTAAAATGTCTAATTGTTTTGCTTAATTGGGTGCATTTTTATGCCATCATTTTTTGTCCTCTAATGTGTTTTCTCCCTTGTTGTAACCTCTGTGATTTTATAATATTATATAATAAAAAATAGAGAATTTTCAAGTAGAATTTTTTTTTATTTTATTTTATTAGATGAGGTATTACATAATAAATATTTTTGGAATTGTGTAGTTTCTTGACGGTCACATCTCCTACTTTTCTCAAATTAATCGTGGAGAATATACAATTTTTTAAAAATATTATTGTTTATTTGCCTATGTAGATCAATAATCGTTGAAAGAAAATATATAAAAACAACTCCTTGGAGGACATAAGTCAAGGAGGGACCAAAATATTGGAGACTTTTTCACTTTGTAGGTAGCTTATGGCAATTTGGAGGCACTTTGAATATTGCGCGCGTGACAATAATTCTGATTTGGAGTGTTTGTCATCTCAAGTCTAACATAAAATTCAATTCCTTTGACAAGTAATTTCACTCATCATTGACCCTTAATACTTAAAATTAAAATTTTCGCTTTTCGACGTAAAATATTTTTTTAAAATTTTTTTTAGGTAAAATATATATTTTTTATTTTTACTTATTCGGTATTCGGCAAATGTTGAGATTGAGGTTGAGGTTCAGGTTGAGGTCAAAGTTGAATTCATCGGACGGAACGTATAAAATAATTTACTAAAAATTAATAGGTAAGTTATATTTGTTAGATTTTAATATTTTGTTTCTTTGTAAATATTTTATAATTATCAAACACCAGAAAATAAAATATATATATATTTAAAAATATTTTACATTCAAACAAACAAAACCTTGATTACAATTTACTTGATATATGAGCTTTTTAAAATGATATAATAATAAAACGTTACAAATACCTTATGGATTGTTTAAAAATGATATGATTTTTTTTAGAGTTAATATTGGCACTCCCAAACTCTCCTTAGGCACTCAAACTATATTTTTAGTTAATAAAAAGGATAGAAATACCCTTTTCTATTATTTTTGATTTCTTTTCTTCGTGGCCATATAATAATAACCAAACATATTTAAGGATATGTTTGATTTGTAATCCTGAGAATAATTTTTTGTTTTCAGAAAGTTGTACACAAAACTCTAGTTGGTTCTGTTTCCTGAAAATTATTTTTTGAAAACTCGATTATAAAAAAGCCTGTTTTTAGAAAATTGTCTTTTATAATTCTCTGAAAATAATTTTATATTCTCTAAATTCTTAAGAACTATTTTTAAAGTTACAAACCGAGCAAACCCTAAATCACTAAACTTTTTCATCAATCAATTGATATTTCTTCATTTTCTTCTTGTCAACTACCTTAACCTTTGAAAACTTGAATTTATTTATTTATTTCCTCTCAAGAGTCTAATGTTGGTTGGTTCAAACAAAAATTATATCGACAAGTCTCGTAGATGAAGAAGAAAAGAATGAAAGATGAATGAGTTGATCAAAGAGGAAAAGATTAGTGGTTTAGATATGTTTGGCTTTCTAATAAAGTGAGGAAGAAGATGAAAATTAAAAAAAAGAAAAGAGATATTTAAAATTTTTAATTAATTAAAAATGTAATTGGAATGCCTGAGGAGAATATTGGAACGCCAATATCAAATTTTTTTAAAATTTTTTAAAAGCACTTAAAATGATACGATAGGACATAGATAAAAGCGTAATTCTCCCATTATTTATTACAAATATATGTATGATATCTAGGCTATTTTCAGCTTTCTCCGGCAACAAACAAGCACGCAATTACCTTGTAGTTTTTTTACCGACAAAGTTTTTTATAGACTCGTCTTCTAAGTTGTAACTAGAGTTTAGTTTCCAATATCATTTTATAAGTCACCGACCACACAATTCTTAAATATAAATATGCTACTATTATATTTTTCTCAAAAGAACTAAAAGTTTACACTTGGTTATGTAAAAGAAGCACTATTACCTTTTTGTGCTTTTAATAACTACATTCGATCTCTCACTATTTTATTAGTTTTAAATCAAAATCAAAGTAACATGGTTTTGATTTTGACAAACCATATGGTGCAACAAGTTATTTCAAATGTATTCCCTACATAGTAGGAGGCAAAGTTCTATTTCATTGATGACATCACCTAATTGAGGCTAATTCACTTCATTTATCTATTAAATTATTATAAACTTTGACTTATAAAATCATTAGCTTTTCTAGTACATGAGTTTCTACTTGCTTTTGCTTTTGCTTTTTAGTTGTAGGTGGAGATTTGCTTCCAAAAGCTAAGATTGCCTACAAATTCAATAGTTTAACATAGTATTTGTGCAGACAACTATTAATGTGACGGTGTAAAAAGGAATTTTTTTTATATTTATATATGTACAATGCAAAAAAAAAAAAAAAAATAGCAAATATTGTATTTTAAGTTTTAACTAAGTTTTACTCGAAAGTTCGTGGGAAAGTTACTATATTAGCTTTTACGAAAATGTGGATGGTCCAACCCTCATGTGCACATGTTTGAAAATATCCTAAGCTGTTAAATTTGTCAGTAGTCAGTACACCAGTAGGTGTGAAACCTTTAAAATTTGTAGGTGAGACTTAAACTTGTAGAGCCTATTTCTCTCTCTCTCACTCTCTCTAGATATATATACACACACACACACACACACACATACACACACATATATTTGAGGAAAATTCCTATTATCACTTTTTACTAGAAGCTAAACGACAAGAAATTAGTGGTCACCCAGGGTTTGGTAGCATTGGTTTTAAAACATGGATCCTGTTGGGCTGTGTTTGGATTCAGTGAATTGGAAAAAGACACAAGAGAGAAGAGAACAAAGAGAGAGAATATCCGTGCAGAAAACATGAGGCGGGAAAAATATATATATAAAAAAAGCTACAGAAGGGTAAATGGTCCCTTCTTTTCTTTTTCTTTTTTTTAGTGTCAAAAAGAAAAACGTTTCTTAGTAGAACCAATGTTAATTTTTAATAATTACAAATTATTGATGCCTTTTGAATTTTTTTTTTAAAAATAGTACTCTGATAATAATATTTTGAAACTTTTAAAAGGAAACTTATATTATAAGTTACACGATCCTTCTTAACGAGTGTCGCTTTCTTATTTCAAACGCGTTCCGATTTTAACTTAAATTTTTACTATTTATTACTTAATTCTGTCGCTCTCACTTTTCACATTTGCTCTTACTTTCACTTTATGTAACTTAGCTTGTATTTGTTAAAAAGTTAGGAGTCTTTAAAAATAACAAAACTTTCGTCCAAATATAAATATTCATTTTAAAAAATATAAGTCACAATTCTGAATTGAATATTTATTTTGGATAGAAGAGAAGAGAGTATATAATTTAAAACAAAAATGAGTCAAAAAAAATAATAATTAAATTAGCAATCCTATTTTATTGTCACAACTGAATTATTACACAAATAATCATTTCATTTCATTGCAATTCTTAATTACTGAAAGGAGATTAATAATATTCTTTCTGTTTTTTCCCCCTCGTACTTCAATTGTGGTAGCCAGCCGGAGCAGGCATGATAGATATTTCAGCAACTTTTCCACCGCCTAAAAAGTAGGGCCCACCACAAGTAATGGGGAGATCTTTTTGTAGGAATGGAGGGCATGAGAAATATCAGAGGCAAGCCCATCATCATAATTTTATCTCTCGTGCTGCTACTTTTGTGGGTCCCTATATTAGCTGTGCTTCAATAATGGATTCAATGATCCCTTGGGTCGTCAGTTGGTCCCTTCGTGTCTTCAGTTTCTTCTGTAACTCACCAGTTCACCCGATACAAATTTTAATTTGTTGTTTTGTTTTCAGACATTAATATTCCATCATTATTGAGTAATCATAAAGTTAATAATGTACTATAATTACAATCACCATAATTATCATTACTTTTTCTGCCAACTTGTTTGTAAAGAAATAAAATTGTTAAACTGAACTAGTACGTTGATTCATAAACTGTCCACTACTAATACAACTTTCACGTCACATTTTGTCAAGGTGTCTTAAAGCAGCCTATATATTTATATGTTAATTAGAAAATAGTTACTTTGATAATCCTAATAGCTTATTAAATAAAGAGTACCCTTTATAGAACTTAGTCACATAAAAATGAAAATGTGAGTAAGAGTAAATTCGAGAGTGAAAGTGTAAGTCCGATAAAATTAAGTCATAAATAATGAGTATTTGAGAGCGCGATAAAATTAAGTCATACGAATAACTTAAATTTGGACATCTTTAATTTGATTAAAGGTCGTTTTGCGTTGAACTAAATTTAATTCTTAAGAGACGAAAAATCATCATTTAAACTTCAATAACATATGTAATTTGTGGGTGATTCAAAATGTTAGTAAGGCAATTTCTTTTGGATTCTATTGCTGACCAAAATCTGCTTATTGAAACAGTACGTTAAGACCTAAACATTATCATTCACCCATGATATATGCAGTTTTGATGCAATGCTTTGTTAATTCCATATTTCACCTTATCAGTAATTATTCTGTCAAAAAAAAAAAATCAGTAATTATTAACATCATTTTATATTTCAAGGCACCAGCAAAAAATATATTTCTAAAAACAGGTGTATTACTCCAATATGTGTAATGTATACATGTCCACAATCATAGTGTTCTGTTTAGGAAATTACTCAATTCTTTTTTTCTTCTCTCTTGCAAAGTATCACAAAACATGTAGTACAGTGATCTCTAATTTCGAAAGAACAAAGAAAAAATGAAACGTTCAAATCTTTTTGAGAGTTTATTTACAATGAACCAAAAAATATAAATACATACGGAGTATATAAATAGAAGTCCATATTATTTCTCATTTCAATCAACCCCTCGTCTGAATCCAAATTCAAATAATTTTCCATAAAGAAAACTCCATCCTCCTTCAGCCAAGTTTTATTAATAACCCATAATAAAACACAACAGATGGAATATATTATATAACCAGTTTAAAATAGACTAGTAAACTAGCAATTTATCTCTTTATACATCTAACAAAAATCAAAATAATAAATAAAATAAAGTAAGAATCTAAGCCAAAAACAAAAACAAAAAAACAAAAACAAAAAAGTAAAGAAAGAAAGAAAGAAAGAAAACCCCTCATATCCATTCCTCCACATTTCCCTCTGTACCACCCCCACTTCCGTTCACCAAAGTAGCAAGAAAGGAAAAGAGAGAGAGTGGAAATAAAAAACGATTTTCAGTCCATAGCATTTGGACCAGCACAAGCGTTCAACACGGGGCTCCAAATCCACTGCACCAAGAACTTCCTTCCCCTCCTTCCATTCAAATTGAAAGTCCTTCCCTTTCCATCCCTCATCACTTGCCCAATATACCCTCCCCCACCTCCGGTACCGTACAACCCCTCACACAGATCGCCAATCTCTGTCGGCGCCGTCGGATCCTCGCCGGCGTACCACGCGTTCACCAGCGGGTTCGACGCCAGCTCAGCAAGCTCATGAGCGATCACACTGATCATACCGTCCACGCCCACGTCAGCATTCGGTGGGGCCAGCGCTCCGGGCCCGCCACCCCCCATGTAAGCGGGCACGGCAAACGGGTAGGCACACACCTCGGGGCACTGCTTACCCGAGTTCCCGACCCATGCGTAGGGTAGGGTGTACCCTACCATGGATGGGAACGTGAAGTAGTGGAATCCACACACCGCTCGGCAGAAATCCTGTACGGTCACGTCCACGGAGGTTAGGATGAGGTAGATCCCGTTTTTGTGATCGACGGGGAAGGGCTTCGATCGGACGGCGGAGGCGATGACCTCTTGAATAGAGAGTCGGGTGAGGTGGGTCCCGTGGGAATACCTGTGGTCGGAGTACTCGCCGGCGACGAGGACGGAGCGGGAGATGTTGGCGCCGGTCTGGTCGGTGTATAACGAGACGGTGGACCACCAGTCGGCGACGGAGGGGGAGCGGGCGGCGCGGTGGTTGGCGGTGGAGATGGAGAGGAGGAAGTCCTTAATGAGGAGCTTCTGGGGTGCAGACCATTTCCCGTACCAGATGAGGTAGATGTTGATCGGCGAGGAGAGGACTGGACCCATGTGGTAGCGGAGGTTGACGAGGTTTGATGAACCCTCGAATTTCTTGGAGGAGGAGAGAGCTTTGGGTGGAAGTTTGGGGTTGAAGTAGTGGGGTTCAAGGTCTAGGGGTTGAGATGTGGGTGTAGCAGAGGTGGAGAGAGAAATGAAGAGGAACAAGAAGAGGGAGAAGAGAAGGGGAAGTGACATTTTTGGGGTTTGGGGGAGCCTGGTAGGGAAATGGAAATGGAAATGGAAATGGGGAGTTGTGAGATGAAGAAAGAGTGATCTGGGGGGAGTTATAAAGAGAGAGTGGAGAGAGAGGAGAGAGAGGGAGTGTTTGGGAGGGAAATGGGCTGGAGACAGCTGCCATTAGGAAGGGCACTGTTCTATTCTTCCAGTTCTCTCTCCTTTGTTTTTTTTTGTTTCTTTCTCAAAAACTGGGAATCACCTTTAAGTACAGTTTAATGACTGGAATGACACTTCTTGCACTTCCATTTTTGAAATAAAATTGATACATCTATTTGAACAAATTCAAATTTCATCGACTATAGTATTTTTCACAGTGGAGAGAAAAATAATATAATGATAGTTTTGTTTGATGACTTATAAGATTAAATTCATATTTAATTTGCAATTAATTGATGCAACAAATAAAAGTGTAATTACAAACTTTCATATTCTTTCTTTAAAAAAATATTATTTAAGAGTAATACTTTACGTGAAAACTCTTTTAAAACATGTATTAAATGGCCTGTTTAAATTTACGTATATCTAAAAAGAAATAATAATTATTTTAGTTCAGTGTATAAATATGAAGAGTTCACGACTCTTTTCATGAGAAATTTTTTTTGAAATCATTATTCTTTTCAATATTATAACATAATGTCATCAACCAATTATATATATATATTTATATATATATTACGAAAATCAACCAATTATGTCATAATGTTCGTCAACCAAAAATAAAAATATAATTTTGTGGATATCCACCTGGCATTAAAGTATTTTTCCTCCTATTTTAAAAATACGCAAGAAATGATTTTTTTATTTTTATTTTATAACAAAAATATTATTAATTAGTGATTAAAGGGAATGGAGAAAGGGCAGGGCTCGAACCCGATAATTACACATATGAAATAATCATCCACCTATTCTCCTCTATTCAAACAGTGACCGATGTGGGGTTAATCCTATAGCATAGGTTAGGTTAGCCTATAATGGTTGACCCTCTCGTTGTGGGAAGTGGGCATGGCCCGGACTAGAAGGTGGTGATGGATTGGGCTCCATTGGGTGATTATGACAGTATCACCATGACTAACAATTACAAATCTAAGAACCTACTACTGTATTTGTGACTAGTGGGATTTGTTAACAGTGCGTGTGTGAAGCACATTAAGTCGCTGTCGTTTATAGGGTTGTAGGCTCTAGGCTCTAACACAGCAGTGGTTAACTTCCATCTTATGGTTGTTTCATTTGAAGAGTGTTAAGATATGTTCCTCCATAAATTAGGAGTCTATTATTCATTTATTTGCTTTACTTCAAGATTTATACGTTTTTTTTGACTTGACTTTATACTTTTATATTGCCATCTTGACTTTAGACCTTTGTGCCTTTGAAAAAAAAAAAAAATTCATCGCACGTTGAGATGTAACACTGCAATTTCATTTAAATTAAGGAATAATTATACTTAAAATCCTCTTTAAATTTTTTAGATAACATGATTTTTTTTCTATAATTTTTAAAATAATACTTTCCTCTTCCGTCTAATATAAAATGACAATTATATCTATTATACTTTATTTTATTTACTATTACAATATAGGCAAAAATATATTTTCAAACTTTCTAAAGAATAAATTTTGAATTTAAAATAAATTTTAAGCATGACATCAGCATAAAAAACTGGGCATTATGTTTGAAATTAGAGGGGAGATCCTGTTATTTTAGCAACTAATGGGTGGTAAGTCTAATTATTCATTAAATCAATAATATAACAATTTTATTTTAATAGTTGTTACATATTTAGGGCAAGTTTGGTAACTACATTGCTTTGTGCTTTGACTAGAGTCAGCAATGTTTAATACTATTCTGAGGCATGTTTGGTGATGTTGCAATATTTTTGAAAGCAAAAACTGGAAACACATTTGGAAAAAAAATGTTACAAGTTTGAAAATTTGAATGGCTACTTAAAAGGGTCATTTTAGATTTATTATTATTATTTTTTTAACGGTGGTTTAATTAGTGTTTTGGGTTTTGGCCCTTTTTTTAAAAATGTTTTGGTACTATTTAAATCGTAGCAAACGTTATCAAGTGCGTTTTGTGCTTTTATTTCGCTACAGTACACTATCTGAAGCAAAAAAACATAATGATGTTATGCTTTCAATTTAATGTGTTGTGATTTTACATTTTTATTTAAAGATAAATTATATACTTACCTCTTCTCTAATTTTGGTTGGTTAAATTTATATTTTGTAGCTAGATTTGTTACACTTGTCTTAACTCTTCGTGTTTTGACATAATATAGGTACCTCCTCTTGATTGAGGAATTTGAAAGTTTACCATGTAAAATTACTTTTATACTTAGGGATAACAATAGGGCGAGGCGGGGATCTCATTCTCCATTTCTATCTCCTATAATTTTATTCATCCCCATCCCCACTCCCAACCCCATTTAAAATTTCACTTCAATCCCCATACCCGTCCCCCGCCCTCCATTCCCCATCCCCAGCCCGCAATCTCCATTCTCGTTTAATATACACTATAATTTTTTTAACAAATAAATTTTCTTATTTTTAGGAATATGTTTATATATATTTAATATAATTTAGTAATATATCATAATATATAAGGGTATTTTAGTAAATGTACATCCTAAACGCGCGAAAAGGGACGGGTTTACCTTATCCCCACCTCTACCGAGTTTTTAAAAATTATCCCCATTTCCATTTGCATAAAAAGATTTCCAAACATGCCCTAAACGAAACGAAGACCCGCCGAGAATGGAGAATTTGCCATCTCCACTTCTACTCTTATTATTATGTTAACATAACTTAAGACCGAAAAATATCTAAGGTATTCTTGTCACATAAATCTTTAAATTTGGCCACGTCAGCATGGACTATTGTTGACCGTTAGGAGATATTTGTTACAAATGTGAAACTAGAGGAAGTCATGGAAATATGTCAAAACACTGGAGAGGTGAGTGTTAAAAGAAAGCAAAACTAGAGGAGACGTGTGCTTAATTTACTAATTTACCCTTTATTTAATTGCAAAGAAGAACACGGTACACATTTTTGTACAGGAGAGGAATTGTATTTTACAAGTATATCTTGCCTTTATATATTCTTGTTAGTTTTGTTCCGTTTGGTTAAAAAAAAAAAAAAAAAAATTCTTAGTTAGATAAGAAGCTACCTAAACTTCAATATAAGCTCATATGTACTATCTTTAGATTACCACAAATGTAAGATGGACCTAGTTAATTAAAGGAGCCATGAGCCATTTAATACACGACATAACTCATAACTATATAAGAAACATAACATGGCTGAATAATAAGATATTATGACTGATTTATTGGTCTTATCATATAGTACATATATATATATATATATCATATAGTACTATATATATATATACACACACACACTTTGGCCATTAATAGAGAATATGATGACCATTGTTTGGGCAAAGGTCACAACAATACCCAAGCCCATGCAAGGCCATTATATTAAAGTACCACTTAATCAAAGCTAATGCATGTTTGTTGGATCATTTTTCTCTAGATCTCATGAGTGCCGGGGAATTGGAGCATTTGACTTATGCTATTTTCTTGCTGAGATAAATATATATATTTATCTATTAATTTAATTTATAATTAATTTGATAGTCAAAGAGAAGAATTAGATTAATGTCACATTAAAAGTTTTTTTTTTTTTTTTTTTTTTTCCTGTCAGTAAGTTACAAGAGATTTTCAATCCAATTTTATTAGGTTTTTAGTTTCGTTAAATTTGTGATCATATAAAACATCACTCTATTTTAATTCGATAACAAAGCGAAATCATAGAGTATTTAAATTATCCAATACTGGTTAAATTCCCAAAATCACAATATTAATTAGGTGGTTTTAGTTTAAGAATTCATGTTTTTTAACAAGTTAATTCGTTCAGATTTATTAAAAAATGGAATTTTGATGGTTTGAGGCTATCAATGGTTGATTTGCCATCTGAATGTGAATGTTCGAAGTTAATTCTTTTTCAATCAACCATAATGTCGGTCTATTTCTTTGGTATAGTCACTGTCATGACACTAATTTCTTCAAGATCACATATAATTTGTTTCTGTTTTGACTACAATTTATTTCAAACCAACAGTTCAAGTTGTTCGGGAATTAATTTCATTGTCATTGCTTGATCAATATATCTCAATAATATATATTTATATATATACAGTCCCGTTCAGTTACTCCTTGGTATGCAGGGAGCAATATATGTGACTTTTATTTTAGTCATTGGACCAATGACTGAAATTGAAAACAAGTATATTTATTATTTATGGTATATTTATGGTATTTTAAGACTCCAAAACCACTCAATTTAAATATTTTAAATAAAATAAAACACCTTCTAATAAGCTAAATTTTACGGGTGTTAATATATTATTAAATAATTTAGATGAGGATTGTTTCATTATTATACAATTAATTTTTTTTTCTTCAATCCTAGCATTTATTTTTTCCCGTATTTCTGTACATATTGTGGAATAATTAAAAAAAAATGTCATTGGCTTATTCAAATTAGGTTTCATCAAAATTTTAATGGACATACTATTGTATTTTATTCGTAGTTCAAAACTTTGTTACCGAATTGCAAAGTAACAAGTTGTAGTCAGTTTTTTTTAAGAGTTCTTTCTTCAAAATATTAACTTTTATGGAAGGACTACCCAGTACAAGAAGAAGAGAGGCTTAGCGAAAAAAAATTTCTCCTTTCAATTTCGTTAAGGATGGTTTTTTTTTTTGTTTTTTATAATATGGAAGGACTTAGTAATTATAAATAGAGAGAAAAGAGCTAGAAAAAAAAAAAAAAAATGTAAGCTTACGAAGAGATTTATTTATTTTTTATTTTTCCTTTCCGTAATAAAAGGACTCTACTACTCTCACTATTTAATATCCAAACGATTTTCACTGTTTAATATCCAAACGATTTTAGTGGAAGTATTTATTTATTTATTTTATTATTAATACATCCTTATCCTTATTAGAAGTTAAAACACTCAAATTGAGTGGTTTTGGAGTATTCAAAAAACCAAAAACAAATAATATAATTGTTTTTAATTTCAATCATTGAATGAAATCCAACAACTGAAATAGAAGTTGCGTATATTGTTCTCTACACATCAAAGAATAACTGAACGAAAATGTATATATATCAATAAATTATTTAAATGTGACTACGTCATTGTCACTCAAATCAAATGGGTGAAATTAAACAATGCAGTTATTTGTTGTTACAAATATGAATTTTAATTAACAGTCTGGATGGATTGGGTAATGTGATGGATATGGAGAGAAAAATGGACTACTAGCATTGACCTATTTGAGGAATTGTTACAGCTGAGGTCACAAATATAGTGGAAATAGATATTTAAGGAAAATTACTTCTAATGGACAGTCCTAAAAAAAAATCACTAGTGGAGCTGAAAATGCTGTAGTCAACATTAGAGTTTAGAAACTGAATCAAATAGAATTTGAACTTAAAATCAGATTGTTGCTTTACTACTACACTATCTAGAATCACCGGAAGATTATATCTCAAAAAGTTCAACTTCGTTGAATAATATAAGCTCAAAACTTCTTTTATAACTTATTTACCAAAAAGAAAAGGCTTCTTTCATATCTCTGAAAAACTTTTTCATCCCTTCCATGCCTCATTTTATAGGAACTTCAATGCGTCTATCTAATTCCATTAATTTGCTAAGTATCTATTATACATACAAATACACAAATATATATGTTAACTAATATAATTATCTGGAGACCACTTTCCTATAAAAGGGTCCGTCAAATCAAAAGTATACAAAAAAAAAACATTTAGAAGAAATATTTCTTTTTTTGATTTGACTCTATCTTGACCGTCGGAGATCTTTAGGTCGGTACCATACACGTGCCTTTCCTTTTCACTTCCTTGCAGGTCGCGACTCACAACAAAAATTTGCATCAACATATCCTGTGTTATGGAAGTGTCAACATTCATGCAACTACCAAGAACCACCATTGTTAATGACAATGTATGTAGTCATATTTGTCACCACATGTGCTGCGACTTAATTTGAAAATGAAAGTTCATATTTTGGGGCATAAAGGTTTGTTCTACACCCTATATTCCAATTTAATACGCAACAAGATTTCTTATGGCTTCTTTAAAAGAATACTCCAATATGTCTTATAACAAATAATTCAAATAGAATTAAAATTCTTTGCAGTACAATATAGATGCTCTATTTCAAAAAGATCGCTTCTTTAAGTCACGCCTTAATAAGTAATAGTAATAGCTAGAGGCAAATTCTCCAATTAGTACTTTTTCTGAAGAAAAAAAAAATATTTGTGAAGGAGAGAAGACGGCCTTTTGGTTTTGACTTTGGAGTAAGTTAAAATGTTTGACATCTTCAAGTAAATTATTTGAGTCGGGTAATGTTATCGTAATATTATTAATATTTTCTGAGGTCACAATAAAATTAACTTATACTTTTATACTTTTATAATCAGATTTGTTAACTCTTTATCATTATTCTTTTATAATTTTTATAATAAAAATGACCCTACAAAAGAGTGGTGGCACCTTTAAAGAGCTTAGTTGCAACCGGTTACATACCCACCAATTTATACATTTTTTTACTTTCCATCCAAATTTGATGGGGCCCTTGTAACATTTTCCCTCGAGCCACCTGATCAAGGAGGTTTGGCTCTAATACTAATTATAACGGGTGAATGCTTGAGTAGTGTTACATACACATCTATTTATACCCCTGTCACTTTCCATCCAGATTCGATGTGGGACAAATACCCCAAGCGTATCCACATTTTAAAATAGAAGGTCGAGAGTTCAACTGAAAAAAAAAAAAAAACGTAATATGCTGGGGTGCAACTTGGGCTAGCCAACCCGCGCCCAACCCAAAATATTTGGGACTTGGATTTTTAAATTCACAAATCTAGCCTAAATCGGATTGGGATCTTTCAAAGCCTAGATAATTCGGGTTGGGCTTGAGCTCAACCCGAACCCAACTCCCAAAAAAAAAAACTTTCAAATTTTTTTTTTTTTTCAGCTTCCAAATATTTGCTATGTATCTATATATGTGAAGTGTCTGCATTAATTGGTCATTGATATATATGTGTGTGTGTGTGTGTGAGAGAGAGAGAGAGAGAGAGAGAGACAAATACAAAACCAGTATCAAAGAATTGCCAGCCGGAATAATTTTAAAATAAAAATTTATTTAATAACAAATAAAAATAAAAAATAAAATTAGAGTTGAAAAAATAAAATTAGAGTTGAAAAAATAATTGAATACTTCATAGCCGCAATACTAATAGTTTGATAAGATTTTAAAAAAATTATTAATGAATTAAAAATTTCTGGAAAATTTGAAAAAACTTCCATTTCGTTTTTTCACCTTCCAATTTTTTTTTTTTTTTTTCCTTTTTTCTTTCCTTCCAAATCTTATATATATATATATATATATGTATGTATGTATTTATACATGTGAAGTGTCTACATCTTTTACTAAAACCCTAATTGGTCTTTGACACACACACACATATATATTTATATCTGTTTATGTGATTGAAGGGATACATGTGAAGTGTCTACATCTTTTACTAAAACCCTAATTGGTCTTTGACACACACATATATATATATATATTTATATCTGTTTATGTGATTGAAGGGAGAAATGGTAAAGAGAGAAACAACATATATATATATATATATATATATATATATATATATATTTATATCTATACATGTGATTGAAGAGACTATAAATGGTAATAGCAGTGAGGTGGTTGCTGCTTTCCCTCCCCCTCTCTCTCCGATTTGTTCTCCACCAACGACGGTTTGTGTTTACAATTACTTTCATGTACACGGATTGGATTGCCTTAGAGTTTTATTGGGAGTGATTTAAAAACAAATTTTATTTAATAATTGATAAAAAAGAAAAAACATTTTTTTTACTTTTATATTTAAAATAAAATAAGATAAATTTTATATTTTTGTATTAACTGGGCTAGGTTGGGCAAGCCCAACTTGCAGCCCTTCTTGTACTCCGTAATGGGTTGCTTTTATTTGTAACTGTGACAATAATTTTTATTTTCAAATATAAAAAATTTTGTTTGGTTTAATTTTTAAAAAATATCTTTTATAAAATAATTTTTTATTTTTAAAATTATTAAAACTATTTTTAAAATTACAAACCAACCAAACTTACGAACCTAAACTGACCGCAGTTTAGAGTCAACATTCTTGACCAAGACTAGAAGAAGAATCCGAGCATATTTAGTTGTGTTTTTTGTTTGCAACGAGGATATTAGTCGTACATCGATAAATTCACATCTCGATTCTTCATCTTCACAAATTTTCACATCAATTTATGAAAACAAAGTAAAAGGAATGGCGAAATGTTATTGCGCTTATCGATTTCTTCTCCTCGCCCTGGGGTTCGCGTTCATCTACATTCAGGTTACTTTCTTCCATTCTGTTTGAAACCCTAACCGGCTTATATAAACATGCACAAACACTAATCCATAAACGTGGGTGTGTGTGTGTGTGTGTGTGTGTGTGTGTGTGTGTGCAAATTTCTTTATTAGGAATTGAAATACTGGCCTGAAACAATGATCCGTTGCCATATGAAGATCTTTCTGTGTTTGGCGGCATACTTATTCAGTTTTCAATAAATCAGAAGGAAACGTGATCTCTCTTAATTTAATTTCATATATTATTTTGCAGATTAAATGATATCATGATATTGCTTTTTCTAGTTTAATAATTGAATTCTTTTTATCTCAGATGCGGCTTTTGGCTACACAACCAGAATATCCTACTTATCCTCTCGCTACTGCAGTATGTATTTTAGCCTTCCATTTCTTTGCCAACATTTAATGTTCCTATTTTGAGTATATGAAATAAATTTTTTCCTATCAATCTTATTGTTATAATGTTGCTTATAAATCTTTTTGTGGGCACATATCATTAAAAATGTTGCTACAAAGTAAAACTTTCCGGATTATATATGTTTCTCTCTGTTTTTCATGCTATTATATGGACGAAATATTATAGTTGGAATAAGCTTGTCGTATGGAAGATGGATTGTGGTTGTGCACAGTAGTGCACTTTAATCTACAATATGGTCAATTGTAACAAGTTTTTGTAAAATTGATTGAAACATGATATCCTACTTTCACATGGAATTTCAGTTCCTCTTTTAACTAATAAAAGAGGATTGATGGAATTATCTCTGATATGAAAATTCTTTTCCTTTAGGTTTTTGATTAATTCTTTTCATACTTCTATTTTTAGAATAATAATAAATAAAAAAAAACTCTATGGAGACCATTTTCCTTGCTCAATTCAGCATTTTTGGGGGATGAAATGTAGGATTTCGCATTTTCTTTTTCCCTGTTCTAATTTTATATGTTTATTAGGTGCCAGTGGCTGCTGTTGTGATTATGGCTTGCAATCGTGCTGATTATCTTGAGAGGACCATCAATTCTATCCTAAAGTATGTCTTAAGTTCATGACCATTTTTCTAGTGCTTTTACTTCAGATTCACATATTTTCATCTGATCCACTGTGGCATAATTATTTGAACCAGACACCAACGCGCTGTTGCTTTACAGTATCCCCTTTTTGTGTCCCAGGTACCTACACTCTTAGGAATTCCTTTTGCTAAAATTATTTAGATTTGGCTTATTGATATAAGTATCTCTTTTGAATGATATTAAGGCTGAAGGACAAGAAAGCTAATGTTGGTAGCTATTTTTTTCAGGATGGTACGGATCAGATTGTCAAAAATAAGGCTTTAAGTTATGATCAGCTTACCTATATGCAGGTAATTTTTTTTTTCTTTCCGGGTAATTTGATACCACATTCTTCTGAGAAGTCTATTACTCACCATGGGACAGAAATGAGAGGCAAAATGCATGAATCCTAGGAACTTTAAAAGTAAAAGAACCGGGCTAACCACTTCATATGATGTCAAATATGGACGATTACTTACCATTAGGAAGATATCTTGGAGTCGGTGTCAACATTTCGAATTCAGATGTCATGTTAACAAGATTCTGACAGTGGAAACGATTGTTAAGTGTCCTACATTTCATATGGTTTCTTCTGATCTTCTTGTCTGGAACTAAGAAATTTTAGCATTTGGTTCTCCTGTGAGATGTCTCATAAGAATCAAAACTTAGAACCTGAATATCTCAACCATTCAATTCTAAGAACTGTTCTTTGAAATATATGAAACATAAAATATAGAGAAAAGATTGGGGAATAATCATGAAAAAAAATGCGAGCATCAAATGCCTTTTGTGTTTGCTAGAAAAGATTTAAGTACTGATTTATTTCTTGGTGCATTCTGCTGGCTGCATGCTTTTTTAATTGCTATAAACCAATTTGGCAATTTGAGATTGATGTGTAGATTATCTATGTTTAATTTAAGGAAATATGAGGCTAGAAAGCACCCATGATTCATCATAGATTATACTTGTTTACCATACCGCTGTGCCTGTATCCTAATGGAAGCCTCATATCTTGGCTGCCAACCCTCTTATGCCTCACTCTGTCTTGCCGTTGCCTTTGAGCTTGGGTCAGAAACCTGAAAGCCTTTCAAAGCTGACCTTACGATTTTTATCTATGCAAAGAATTGGATTTGCTTAATTTAATTTGATCCAAAAATGTGACTCATGTTCTAAATATTTGTTTAAAGATGGTTGGCACAAATTGAGAATCTGGGCCACCAGTCTAACTTCAGTTTGTTGCAGCATTTAGATGATGAACCAGTGAAAACTGAAAGGCCTGGGGAGTTGATTGCATACTACAAGATTGCTCGTATGGATTGCTTTTGATTTTTTCTTTTTGCTTTTGCTTCCTCAAGTTTCGAAATTAAACACGCCATTGTTTTGTAGGTCATTACAAGTGGGCATTGGATCAATTGTTTAATAGGCATAATTTTAGTCGGGTTATCATACTTGAAGGTGCAATTAGTCTTGCTTTTGTATCCTTTTCACTTTCTTCTATCTTGTTTCTGCTTTAAAATGCAAAGCAATGTTCTGAGGATATCTTCATGGATAGCAGATGATATGGAAATCGCCCCAGATTTTTTTGACTATTTTGAGGCTGCAGCCGCACTCCTCGAGAGTGACAAGTGAGTCCTATATCAAAACTCAAGCTCTTCTAGCTACATTTTGCTTTTTCGAAGTTCAAGATCAAGGCTGCACTAGTTTTGAATGAGTTTTTTCTTTTTCTTTTTGGCTGATGGAACCGTATAGGTCCATTATGGCTGTTTCCTCATGGAATGACAATGGACAAAAGCAGTTTGTGCAGGATCCTTGTAAGTTCCTTTAACTTTTCTCAATATATCATAGTTATTATTATAGAACAAAATTAAAGCTAACTGATAAACTTGCATACTGGTTTCGGTTAGTAATAGTCACTGCAGTAACTCTGAAGTGATTACTGCTTAGTGCTTCCATTGTTCTTCTCAAGATGCCATAAAAAAATTTCCTTTAATTTTGGGTGGGACATTGCAGAAATGATTGGATAAGTGTTATTTTCTCCAGCTAATGCAATTATGCCTGAATTCTCAACTTGCCTAACATATACCTAACTACTTGGGGGCATAAGCAATAGGTTGGGTTGACTTCAAATATTCAACTTCATGCTCCTCTATACATGGGGTTCCTTTCTCTGGTGAGTTGAGCATGAGGCATTTAGGTAGTTGCATGGTCAAATCATCTCAACTGGATGTCTCCATGTGTCCCTAAGCAGTGCTTTTGCGAATGGTAACCTTTCATAGATGCATTTTGTTATAGTTTGATACATGCTCATTTCATAGACATGGTTCTTAGCTTGTTCGCATTTGTATTTTATACTTTCTATTAGGAGATTAATATATGCAACTTCAGTCTGCTGATGTGTATAATTCCTTGGCAGAGGTTGGACAAAATATAAAGAAAAGTATCTAAGACAAAGCAATGAGAACTATTCTCTGATCTGCTACGTGGTACACCCTGCAGATGTACTTTATCGCTCGGACTTTTTTCCTGGACTTGGCTGGATGCTGTCTAAATCTATTTGGGAGGAACTATCTCCGAAGTGGCCAAAGGCATATCCTTGTGGTTTTGTGCATTTTTGTTTGTTTTTAAAACTTAGATATTGTTCTGATGTGTCTCCTTTAAACATGTTCCTTGACAAAAGTTTCACTTACTGGGATGATTGGTTGAGGTTAAAAGAGAATCACAAAGGTCGCCAGTTTATTCGACCAGAAGTGTGCAGAACATATAATTTCGGCGAGCATGTACGTAAGTCAAAGTTAGTATAAGGATAGATCTTGTTCACAATTCACTCAATCTTAGGGTTACTTTACTGTGTTTTGTACAGGCTTGCTTATACCATTAATATTACTTATCTATATGGTTGTGATGCTTCTCATCCCCTCCATTGATGGTTTCCTGTTTCATGGAATAAAATGTGTACTCAGAAACATAATATTTTGTTATCTTCATCACCAAAAAAATTCTTAGAGTTGGTTTTTTTATTTTCCCTGTACTTCAAGCGAAAGGTAATCTTCATTGATATGACTAAAAATCTGTATTCCGAAAGCCAGCCTTGTATTCGCTGCATACATGATGCACCAAGAGTTATATATTCGTTTAGTTGTTTTATTCCTGTCATGGTAGCAATTTTTTTCTTTCCCTTGAAATTGTGGTTTTATAATGTTGATGCTGGTTAATGTTGATTTTCTTGAGGTGACTTGAGCTTTTGATTGAAATATCTGTCATTTGTAAGTTCTCGACACTTCTTGGTATCAATGTCAAAATATTGCAGTTGTGTATGTCATTTTTTTTTTCTTTTTTCGAATTTTTTTAAATGGTGTCATTGATTTTCCTCCATGGTTCAACATATATCTCTGAGTGTATGCAAGCAATTTTAGAATGGGAATATTACTTATTGAAAAAAAGAAAAAGGAAAAAAAAAAGGAATATTCTAAATCTCTGGGAATTGCAGGGAAACTTGTTATAGATTTGATTCACATAATCTTTTTTGTTTTTTGTTTCTGCTTATGAAGACTAAATAATTTTCCCACATTTTAGTCTGGTCGTGTTAGTTGGTCTTTAAGTTTACACTGCAATTCGCCCCCTGCAATTTCACTACTATTTGTTGTTGATTTTACTAAAGTTTCCTGACAAACTTCACTTTTGAATCTGCTATATATGGTAATATTTGAATCATGTGTTCTAGTTTCACTTCTTTTTCTTGTAACTATGGTTTTACTGGTAGGCCAACAAAGTTCTATGGTACACACCACTTAATTTTTCACTACAGTGGTTTATGTGGGCTTACAAACTGTGTGTGTGTGACACTCAGACTTACTTCTGCCTCATTCATTCTTTTCCTGACATCCAATCTAACGAAAATATAAACTAATCATCTTGTTTTTTTTTTTTTTTTTTTTTTTTTTTGGTGCTTCACTGGGAGTCTTGAGATTTAACTTTGACAATAATTCCATGGCATGTCCTTATGATTGGGTTTCCTTAAAATCTTGCTTCTTTGTATCTTATTGTGATTTCCCTGCAGGGCTCTAGCTTTGGACAGTTCTTCAAACAATATCTTGAACCTATTAAGCTGAATGATGTACAGGCATGTGATTATTTCTCTCTTACAAATTTTCCATTTGGTAATAGTTTCCGCATATCTCATACTATATTATCAATTTTTTGCTTTTGCTGAAAGGTTGATTGGAAGTCTATGGATCTGAGCTACCTGATGGAGGTAAAAGATGCATTTCAAAGTGATCATTTAAGATGAACTAAGTATATATGTACTTTTATCAACCGAATGGGTTGTGCTTCTTAGGACAAGTATGTGCTGCACTTTGCCAACATGGTTAGGAGGGCACAACCTGTGTATGGAGCTGAGGCTGTCCTGAAGGAATATAATATAGATGGCGATGTACGCATTATGTATGAAGACCCGCCAGATTTTGAACAAATTGCACGCTCATTTGGCATTTTTGAAGAATGGAAGGTAGTTCAATTTCATTATTTGCATATCTGTCCTCTAAGACTGAAATTACAAACTGGGTGGTTTTACTTTGAAAGTTATTTTCTGGGTATGGGACGAGTCCTTTTGCTTCAGTACTCAATGGAAGTGCATTGAGCTCTCTAAAGATAGACTTGAGTTACTATTTTTGAATGCCATACTTGGTACTCACTATTTTATTGATACATCTGGGAAAGTGTTTTGTTGGTAGTTTATGCATTTCCTTGTTTTCTGGTTCTTTAAAAACTATTAGTAGCACCTATTCTGCCTTTTTTCACATTCATACTAATAATAGCATTTTGGTTTAAGAATCAACTCTTTTTGTAAATTAAATTAAGAAAAACAAATTAAGCATGGCTTTAGTTCTGTACCCTTGAATGCCTGAATCTTAGGGCAAGATGGCGTTTTTGACAGGGTTTAAAGAAGCAGCATTCATTCATTTTTTTTTTTTTTTTTTCCTTTGTCGGTACTCACATGCACATGCCTCCACTGAGGCTCGAACCCTTGACCTTCCTTTGGGAAGCAGCATTCATTCTTGATGATTTAACAGTGATCAAGTATCTTCCTCATACTTGGCTGCCATTATTTATAAGTCTGAAATTGCTTATGTGAATCTCCTTCCAAAGCATCTTGCTTCTGTTTTTATTTCATTCCCTTCCCAGGATGGTGTGCCAAGGACAGCATATAAAGGAGTAGTAGTTTTCCGATACCAAACCCGAAGACGTGTATTCCTCGTTGGCCCAGAATCTCTCCAACAGCTTGGCATTGAACATGCTTAATACCGAACGAGGTTAGTGACAGCATGCCGTTTGTATGTGTACTGCAACTTCATGTCATCATCTTTTGTAGCATAGAATTGGTACTTTAGAACAGGAACAAGAAATGCCACCTGTAGCTTCTATTTCGGTAAAACTCATCATAGGAGAAAGGCTTTGTGAACTGATAGCTCTGAATATCTCTCTCTTGTTAACAGAGATTGAAAGAGAATACATTCTCCACCTTGGTTTTTGAATGAGGCTCGTTTGAAAGAGAAATGTTTTTGAAGATCAATGGCAACTCCCACTCCAATTATAATATCAAATTCCAGACATCTAGATAAGTCTTCCATTTTACAGTCAGTTTCTTGATACAAGGTTCTGTAGCTATAACCACATAAATGTAACAAATGCCACATCTTTGTATACTAGTTGTTATTCTTATTGAGTGGCAAGAAAAAACATTAATATTTGTTGTGTTCAACATCTATCTTCAGTTACATTGTAGCTACAAGTGAATAATTCTTGTGATAGTGAATGAATCCAAGGTGTGGTTTATTCTCTGTTTTTTTCCGTTTTAGTTTTCTAATACACAGGCATTTCAATGCAAGAGGTCTTTGGTATATGTAATGGGTGTAGAAATGGATTTTCTATGTTTGCTCCGTCTGTTTTTCAGGTGGATTTGAGAATCTAGATGGCTGTAGACTCTGCTGTTGGAGAATGAATGAAGTTCTGGTGTTTGGTCTAAAAACCTTTCTTTTGTTGTGTTATGGCCTTGTAATTTCAGTCATGTTGTGCAGGTAGGTTAGCTCCTATTTGACAATTGCCTTTGTCTCCTACCAAATATACCTTCGCTCGAAAGCCATGAAGAAACTCTGGAGTGATCAACCGACTTTTTGAAAGTTCTATAATGAAGCCATAACGAGGCCAGTGATTAATGAATGAAGGAGAACACGAACTATTAGGGAAAATACATAGACCCCTCAAAGGAAGCCTGGAATGGAAATAGAATGTAGTGATGAGGCAAAGAAAAATAGAAAGGAGATCAAATGAAGAGAGAAAAGACGTGCACTTAAAATGCAAAGGCACAAGCCTGCGAGGAGGATTTCAACCCCATGAAAACTCGGATCAAACAACAGAACAAAACAAATCAAAAGTGAGTCCATTCTCCATCTATGCAATCCAAACATCGGGCTTTAGGTTCCGTTTGTTTTGATATAAAATATTTTTCTTAAATAAGATTTTTATTTTTTCAGGTAAAATATTTTTAATTTTTTGTATTTTTGAGTGTTTGGCGACCATCTAGGTCGATTGGCGGAAGTTAAAATAATTTGTCAAAAATTGATGAGTATTTTTTTGTATTAAGTTTTGATATTCATTGTCTTCACTAAACACTAAAAAATAAGAATTTTATTAATTGCGAACCATATAAGCTTGAGTAGAAGGGTTGGGCATACCAACGACGTGGTATGCCCATGGCTTACTCAATATCTTCTCGGTATGCCCGTTACTATAATTTTCCTTGGACTTTCTTTCAACTTTTAGAGGAAACTGGGGGGCTAATCTGAACTCATCTTGTTCTCTTTCTATTGTTTTATGATGATTGCTGACCTCACGAATTTTTTTCATAATAATATATATGTCATAAAATTTTATTTTAGTTCCAGATAAAATAATAATATTAGTTATAAAATATATATATATATATATAAGATAGGAAACGAGAGTGTATAGTGGTTGATTAATTAAATAAAAGAAAAAATGATAATCTTAGGACTTAATTATGCTTAGAAGAAAAGGAAGTGAAATTATTTAGAAGACTTTGCCAAAGTGACAATTTGAAAATAAAGATATGGATGAAGAGAATAAAACTATGCCCTAAGTACTTAACTAGTCACTACAGAGTTGGTGACCCCACTAACCGTCGATATGATTCGTTCAAATCCCACATGCATAGTAACTACAAAATTAGAAAAGTAATAAATAAATAATACAGAGAGAATGACTGAATTTATTCAATTATTTTGGGTAATTAAATAGTTTGCCTAGTAGTCATGATAGTTTACATGATGCTCAAAATTTCATAGAAAATGTAAATTTTAAGTTTTGAACTAGTGTATTTTTCTTGGATCAAGTCAAGTATATATATTTGAAGAAATAGGTAAGTTGTGTAAATAAAGAGAAGAAATGTACGCAAACAAGCCAAATACAAGTCACAAGTGCATGCAACATCTACAACATCAAATCACATGAATGTGATAATAATTAAAAGAAGACCACATAGATTAGAGTTCCACATTCATAGAGTCCTTTCATAAGTTGGCATCAACTTATGTACCTATATACATTAAAACACAAAAATTATATTATATCAAAACTCCGAAACTTTATCTCAATCCACACGATTAATATTTATTTATATTGGTTTGAATGTTGTGGGATACAGAGTTAGTAATCTAGGCCAGAAATTGCAAAGCACCATGAGAAAAAACAACTTCAATTCACTCCCTAGAGTCATCATCTATGAGATACTAACAAGAGTACCAGCTGAATCACTTGTTAGATTCAAAATAGTATGCAAGTTGTGGAAAACCATCATCTCTCATCCTGAATTTATCAGCTCTCATCTTCACACATGGAAACCCAACCCTGCAATCATCATCACAGATTTAATGTCCGCCGGCTCGTTTCTTTGGGATTTCCAAGACACAGACTCCATAGATTTGGCTGTAACTTTCCCCAAAGGTTACTCCAGTTTTGTTGCCTCCACCGATGGTTTATTACTTCTTGAAGCTCTCACTTTCTCTCACCCCATAAAAAAAGGTGGTGGTCATGCTGAAGAAGTAGTGAAACTGTGTGTTTATAATCCCGTTACCGGTAGCCAAAAGTTTTTGCCGCCAAATTCAAACCTGAGCATGATTGGTTGCAATTTTTCGATTGTCCATGATGCTTCGATTCGGAAATATAAGGTTGTGGTTTTTAGTGATGATATACGTAGGATTCTTGAGAAGATCACCGTCATTAGTGTAGACGACAGTGATCGGGGCTGTGAATGGAGGGAGTTGATCAATCCATCAACATTTTTCATGCAAGCTATTTGCAAGCCAATCACTGTGAATGGGTTGTTGTTTTGGTTGGCATACACCTACGATATTGAGAGAATTGATACTCCTCTAATGGCTTTTATACAGTCGGTGGACATTGCTGAAGAGGAATTTATGCAGAGACTAAGCTTGCCGTGTCAACCGAAAACGGATTCTACTCACCTACTGATGAACTGCAACTTGTTGGAGATGAAGGGATCGCTCTGCTTCTCGAATCCGGCCACTGATATGGAATTGGAGCTATGGATGTTGGAGGATTTAGGTAATCATATTTGGGTTATGAAACACAAAATATGTCTTCTTTCGATTGTTGGTCGGCCTACCAGTCTGTCGAGTTTCTTACTGAGTGAATCGTTTTTCCCAATTCAAATTATGGGGAATGACGGAGGATTGATGATGATTCGACATGATCCGGATAACATGGGGTTTTTAGAGGGAAGAGGGTGGTACTTGTACAACTTGAGGAGTAAGGAGTTGAAAGCTATTGTGTGTAGGAGTAGTAAAGAGGGAAAATATTTTTATTATCCTGCTCAGAAGATCACTCATGTCAAGAGTCTAGTTGGTTGGAACTGAAAATCTTTTTTCTGGTGCTCCTTTGTGATGAACTAGTGAGCTTGTTTTTGCAGAAAAAGGTTCTCCTAGAATTCCCATTTGTGTTTAGAACTGATTTATTTATATTTCGATAATATATATATTCAAGGTGAGAATGAAATCCCATTTGCTTTTATATAGCTTGCTTTTGTTTTTATTGTTGTTTTGTTGTCACCACTTGAGGAGGCCCTGGATGACATGGGCCAGGTCCGACTCGCAAAACACAACCTTCAGTCCGAACAGCTGGGTCAGCCCATAAAAAGACACTGCCATATGGGCCGAGCGGGAGTAAGCCCATCAAGAGTGACCAGGGCTTACTGAGGAATAGGCCCAGGTCCAGCAATTAGTAAATATCTTGTAAATATCTTGTAAATATCTATAAATAGGAGTTGGAATGAAGAGGAGAGGGATCTTGATTCGGGTTGAGGTGTAAGAATTCTAGAGAGAGAAAGAATAGAAGGAGTTTCTTGCATCTTCAATTGGCGCCGTCTGTGGGAAACGCATAAAAGTTTGGTTGATCAATGAGGAGGATGGAATGGATTCAAACCAATTCGGTTGATCGAGACTCGATCTTGCGGATTTGAATCCAGATCTGAGCGATTGTGACCTACTCTGGAGGAATTACGATTCTTGAAGCTTTGGCAGGAGTGACTTCAGATCTACGCAACCGCGAGTTGCTCGATTGTGACAGGATCTGACGGATTTAGAGTCCAGGCAATTCAGATCTTGTAAACAGTGAGCATAATTCGGAGAATTAGAAGCCAGATCTAAAAATTCCTACTCACGAAGCTTAGATCTACTCGCGAGCTTGAGATTAATGCCTTTACTCCGTTCGGGAATAATGATAGGTGAAAGCTCCAATCCGATGGAGGCTGTCCAGCAAACAAAGCTTGAAGAGTTGATGAATTTGATTGAAGCTCTCAGAAAAGAAAATGCAGAATTGAAAGCTGGATTGCAGCATCGGCAAATACCCGCAGTCTCGCATCCGCTTCCGGTCGGAGAAGGAGGTGTTCCATCTAGTATCGCGCAACAAGGCGATCAGAACGAGAACAATCAGTCAGCTCACCACCGTGATGAAAGGATGATGGACAATTCGCCGCCAAATGTTCGTCGAGTTGAAGATCACGAAGGCTCGACTCACGTTGATCCGCAGCGGGAAAGGTTTGACCGAGAGGAAGTGATGGAGGTAGATCGCCGTCGAGTAGCGTCGCCTTGGCAGAGAGAGTTCATAGAGGAACGGTCGTTCGATCCGTCTTACCGGCCCTCCATGGTTACTGTCACTCATCACGGTTCGGAGGGCAGAACCGTAACTCACAGAGCTACCGCCGGACTCCAGAGAGAGAATGAAGCTCTCCGATCCGCAGCTCGGACGGTGGATTCACCATTCACCGACGAGATCTTGAATGCGCCGCATCCAAGGAAGTTTGCTATGCCAGTCTTTATTCTGTTTGACGGAACAACCGATCCGATCGATCATGTGTATCATATCCAGTTGAAAATGGCCCTGAACACGGAAAACGACTCTTTAATGTGCAAATGCTTTCCTACAAGTTTGGCCGGACCGGCGCTCAGCTGGTTCAAAAACTTGCCTAGGAGCTCCATTGGCAGTTTCAGGGACCTGTGCGATCGGTTCATAAGCCAGTACTACGGGAACAAACGCCCGCCGAAGGACATCTCGAGCCTGTTCACGATGCGGCAACACAAGGATGAACGGCTCCAGGCCTTTCTTACCAGGTTTAATCTCACTAAGAGTATGGTAATCGAATGCCATCCTACTACGGCAGTTCAAGCCTTCAAGTTAGCCATGACACGCGGAACTCCGTTTCACACCAGTCTGGTAGTGAATACGCCAGCTACCATGGACGAAC